TTATATTTATAATCGATTCTTATATTTCGAATTGTCTTAAGTTATAATATAATAGTCTTAAAATGTTATAATGTAAACCAATAAGAGAACCGCATTTTAAGATATTACTTAAGATAATCTTAAAATAAGAATCGATTATGAAATATCGGCTATTAAATTCGAAATTTTCGAATAGTTCGTATCCGAATCATAGCAATTCGAATCGATTCATATTCAAATAATTAAATTCGCACATCTCTAAATTATATAAACAATATCAATTTCATGTTAAAATTGAAAAAAATTGAATGCTATATAATGAGTCTTTATATAATTTTCATGAGATACAGAATGACTTGCGTAAAATTTATGTATGTAATAATTATATAAATACATAAAACAATAGTATTATAATTAAATAATTCTACACAGTAAGATAATTATATTTAATTAGATTACATAAAAAACATGCAGACAAATATAATTAAGATCTTTTTGCAACTGAATAAATTATCTTATATGAAACGCAAAGAATGCATTATTAATGTATTACCTGAATAATTATTTTATATATAGGATTTAAAATAGAACACATTAGAAACATATTATCTTTGATTATATCTAAGGAAACATTTGAAAAGTAATTATTATAGAATGACATAAAAAACCAAGTACATATTGTATATAATATGATGATCAATTTACAGGACAGTATCCGCCATATTGATGTATAAAAGTCGTAATTTCGCGAGAATTAGCATCTATCAATAGGAATGCAATATTTTGCCTGTTGCTGGAATCAAATGGGAAATAATCTTGGCCTGTGCTATCCTTAGCAACTACTTCCAATACCAAAGTGCTCACAAACAAATCGTTTGAAGTATTCTGTTTCTGTACTCTAGAAGGAATGCAAATGAAATTTTTATATTTTTATCTTCTGTTGCCTTTAATTTTAATAAATGCTAATAACCTTATAAGATCTTTATAGATCTTTCTAGTGATGTCCAAATATGGCTGTATTACGTCCTCAAACTGACATAATGTTCCGCCAAGAACGAGCATTTGAAAAATTCGAAATACAAACTCATTTTTTTCATATTCTGAATATAGATTGTATTCTTCTGATTCTTCATCCAAAAGCATCTAAAAATCATGAAAAGTTAAAAATATCGTATCAGGAACTTCCAATATACACAAATTTTTAGTTTACTACAGTCAAAGATAATTAAAAAATGGAATTTGGCAAGTCTGTTTTAAGTAATGCGATATTTCAAGAAAAAGAAAAGAGAAAATGTCTTACACCACGAAGATTGTCAGATATCAAAAAGTCTTCTATTTGCAAATCATATCTTTTGCAAATCGTTCCGGAATTATATACAATTCTGTTATCTGGATCCTTAAGTTTATCAAAGAATGACATATTTAAGATCGAGCATGGTACTTGCTTTATTTGCACACTCGACGCTTGTATACCTAGCAATAATTATTTTTTAATTCAAACAGATTTATTTACGTAGCTGTAAAAGTACGTAGCTCCTAAAAGTAATAATACCTTGTCTTACCCAGGTAGAGCCTTGTTTGGACAATAATGCTTTAGCAACGGTGTTATCTTTAAAAAATGCCTACAGATTTTTTGAATCTCACAATCAGTATTAAATAACAGTATTAAATAATGTAAATTATATATATATATATATAAAAAAAATCTCTCTCTCTCTCTCTCTCTCTCTCTCTCTCTCTCTCTCTCTCTCTCTCTGCCAATGATTTTATAATTGAAAAAAAATCTAAATTACATTTACATCTAAATTACAAATTTAGATATTTAAGATCGCACGAATTCTGTAACATCCTATATAATTTGGAAAACATATTGTCGTTATTGATAGCAACTTACATCAGCTACATGATATTTATGATATTGTTGAAACTGTTCGTTAAATGAAAAATTTTGGATAATGAAGTTTCCTGTTAAGCCCCTAAAAATATGATTTTTAATATGTAACCATCTATTCAGGAATTAGAGAATTAACTATTATATGCATTGCAAAAATGATGGTAAAATATCAATGTCACCATTTACACAGATATTCTTGCGTATTTTTATCATTAATTCCGACGTAGGTTTTCTCATTCAACGGCACAAATGTGAATTTCGACTCAATCTCCATTTTTACACACTTGCGATCTCCATGGAGATAACACACAAGTTTTCTAATTCATCAATTGATTTAAATACGCAAATACGACTTTGCTTTGTAATTAAAAACTGCATTTATAATACGATTAATTAGTCAAAGAATTAAAAAAATGTCTATATTTAAATAAATCTGTTCATGCCAGATATGTGCATATTACATATACAGGGTGTCCTAAAATTTTTTGCTAAGCGCTCTTGTGTAGATAGAATGGACTAAACTGCATCGAAAAGGATCCTCTGCCAATTTTCGTAATAGGTAACAAAATATTATTAAAAATTGTCGAATATTCAAAAAATTGTCGGTCTTCAATAAAATTTCTTTGGTAATTATTTAGAATAACTCGCCCCCTCCCTCCCCTCATTTTAATCTCTAAAGTCTTCACTTTAACGCTTAATAACTCACGAGGCCGACCGCGGCGTTTTTTTGCCAGATTCTTTCATTTTGAGTGAACACACGTCGAATAAGTGTATTTTTATTAAGATTTGAAGTAGGGGGAGGGGAGATTATTCTAAATAAATACCATTTTTTTCTCAAATACTATCAACTTCACAGAAAATTGCAAAAGACAAAAATTCTTTATTTTATTCTCATAGAACTCAGAATTTTTTCAAAATTTTTTAACTTTTTAGTATTGCATTTTCTTATTAGCAACTATTTTTATCAACATGAGAAAATTAAATACGGTATTAAAAAATTCTGAAAAAATTCTCAGAATTTTATAAGAAGAAAATAAATAATTTTTATCTCTCGGTAAAGTTGATAGTTGAGTGAAAAATTATTGAAAACCAATATTCAGCATTTTTTAATAATTAATATCTTGTTAACTGAAAAAAATTGCAAAATGATAGATGACTTTTTAACTCAGTTTATTTCGCTTTATCTACACAAGAGCGCTTAGCAAAAATTTCGGGACACCCTGTATATATAGCATAAGAATATATCATAGATATGCATTTAAATAAAAATATTTATAAAATGTCTGCTGATGACCGCATCATCTTTCATAAGCAGGTAGAACAAACTAAATTGAATCGAAAACTTGTCGAAGTCTTGTACTTTTGTAATTTTTGCAATAATTAACGAGATATTTTTTTTAAATCTGCGCCGTCGCAGTTGTTAGGCACGGAGTGAGAGATTGTTTGGCAATTATGGCGCCACATGTCAGCGACAAAGAAATTCATTCGAATAATTAGATTTTCATTTGTTCTTTATAACGATCTGGCAATTAGTGTCCTTGAGGTTAAGGTGTGTTTATTTTGATCAAATGGCAGATAAATATTTTAGTGCTCAGGAATATACCGACATGATCATCATATATGGTGAAGCCGGAGAAGATGCTATTGAAGCCGCTAATCTGTACGCAGAACGATTTCCTGGACGCAAGATATTTCCTGATGCTAACGTTATTTCAAGTTGTGTTCGACGTGCGCGGGAAACAGGATGCGTGTTGCAGATTGAAACTGAAGCTGAACAGTAGTACGCTGATGCATTTTCAGAGTTGTAGATTAAACATGCATGAATGATAAAAATTCTATTCGCGTGCACTAAAGCGATTCTTCTTGTATATTTCTTGTGAACTCATACAATTTCAAGTAAATTGCACTGCGATTATTTGTTGATCTTGAAATACTCCAAACCGAAACTGGAGTAGTAATACCATAAATTAAATTGACAATCAATTTATTCTTAGAAACTTAAGATTTAATGCTTATTAGCATTAAATTATTAACAGTTATCAAATTATTAACAGTTATAATTGTTAATTTGTATATGATTGATTTCGCTATTTTGATCTCTATGTTTATTATTTATTTGCTTGATATTATTAAATTATTTATTGATTTATTCTTCTTGTATTTTATATGAAGTTAATTGTTGCATGGTCTTGGTTCTTGTTTGTGTGTGTTACTATGTTGTTTTGTAATTGTAGGTATTTGTTCTGACTTGTCAACTTATTTGGATATTTTACCAGTTGTATATATAATTCAGAATAGTTCTCCATTGTACATGTCTTCTATGATTATAGTTTGAGATCTCTTTAGTATATTTTTCATTATGTAATTTTTCGTATAATTGAAATCATTCATATTTATATGTATTGTATTTTTTATATTATATTTATATATATATTTATATATATTTATTTTGCTTGTATAATCAAGTTATCATTCCTTGAATTTGTATATGCTTGAGTCAATATAATTAATGCCGAGATACTACCAGTGTCTCCAAAGTTACTTCAGTTGTTCTATTTGAATAGTTATCTCGTTTTATTTAGAGTTTCTTAACTTTAGAGTTTCAGCTTGAAATCATTGACATGACCTTGCACAGTACATCTATTGTGAGCATAAACTCTTTGGAGCTTTGTTTTACTAGACTTTGTTTGCTTTCTGTAGAACCTTATTTTATGAATTTAGATCAATCATCAATTTAAATATTCGTTCAGATTTAAATGTTTGATGCGAATTTACCTAATCTAATTCTGTAAATCATATACTGAAATCTCTTTCAGTTTTAAAATGTAATCATGCACAGAATTGAAGTAATAATATCATATATTAAATCAACAATTTAACAATTTGATGTAAGAATCTTAAAAACTATTAAATTTTATTGTGAAAAATATTACCTTAACCAGCCTTAAGCAGATGCTTTTATCGATTTACAATAGGATTTAAAATTATATTTATTATTATTTATTTTATCCTATTTATAATTCTTGCATGAAATTTTACATTATTTAACTATATATTAATTTATTATTTTACTTTACAAGGTGACGAAATGATAAATTTTAGGTACATGGAACTGCACCCAATATTGTCGGCCAAGCAAACGCTAACATTGTTCTCCACTTGATGATTCTAAAGTACATAAGTCTGAGCAACCATGCCAAGATCATTGAACAGACTCCTTACGATTACTATTAAGGAAGCAAAGTATCTAATCTACCGGTGATTTCAGCACTGTAAAGTACAGCGAGTATACTAATGAAATAGTTATATGAAAGTTGTTACGCGAGTTAAATAAAAGGCAGACAATTTTGTTGATCGAAATTTAATGTCAAATACTAATAGAATTTATGCATCCATAATGAAGGAACCACTATTACCTACCATTATCTACTATTTGTTGTATCTCATACAGTTTCGTGTATATATTTCCACATGATTAGAAATTTATAATTGGAATCGACGAAACGCAAGTATTGTTAAGTATTATTTCAGTCACTTATAGATATAGATTTTCCCCTTCCTAGTACTATCTCGATTAGACGCGATTTGACTCAATTTCAAGATTTGTCAAATTATGTGTTGAAACAGCATTTAATTTTGTTTCGTTTAACATTAAACATGCAATATGTATTATTTCTATTGACTTTAATGTACGCTTCTACATGTAATTATTCAGAGAAAAGATACAGATAGTAAAACTTAGCCAAATAAATTGAGTATTAGAAATGCTCAGTTTTAAATAAAATTGTGAGATGTATATTTTCCCATTAAAGTAAGAATAGTTGAAAAATAAAAGTTTATGAAATTTTAACACCTATTTTATTTTGTATCGCAAATTATTTCGATCCTTATAAAATTAAACATTCTTAATAATTTATCGTTTGAATTTTGAGAATTTGAAAATTATTTTTAACATTCTCTTTCAGTTATAACAACAAATTCTTTTCTGTACGAGGTTAAATAATATTTGCATAAATTTATTGTTGTAAAAATTTACAGTATTTATGTTAAAAATATTTAATAAAAAAAATGTCACAAAATGTAAAAAACAGTAAATCCATGCATAATAATCTGTAAAATAAATGTTATACGCATTTTACAATAAGCCATTAGAAGTGAGAAGATGAAAATTGTCCAATCACAGTTATCCATTTTCAATTTCTAATTTCTGATTTATGATTAATGGCTTATTATAAAATGATCATTAAGATGGAGAGCACAGACGTTTACATAACGCATAATGCGTAAGAAAATGAATCAATCAAAATCAAATTTATTTCTTTCTTTTTCATGAAATAAAGAGCTTTGATTTTCTTATGCTTCATGTTTTGCGTTATGCAAGAGTTTGTGCTCTCCGCTTAACGGGCCTTCTACAATAAGACATTAATCATAAACCAGAAATCAGAAGTTAAAAACTGATAACTGTGATTGGTCAATTTTTAGCTTCTGACTTCTAATTTAGGACTAATGGCTTATTGTAGAAGATCCATACTAGTCTCAGCACAGACTTGCATAACGCATAGTGCATAAAAGAATCAACCAATCGAAATTGTTTTTCATGGAATGGGAGGAAAGGAAAAGGTTTGTTCATGTCACTAATGAGGGCATTGGAGTGAGTAAGAATTATGACAGGAGCATGCGACGCGAACAAACCTAAAGATTCTGATTAAGTGATTCACTTATGCACTATATGCACTTAAAAACAAAAGAAATTTGATAATTTATTTCTGGAGTTTTTGAACTTCATTTAGATTGTGGTCAAAGTCTCGCTACAAATACTTCGAAGCATTTGATGGACCAATTAGAAGAAAGAATTTGACAAACCGACTAATTAAAAAACGCTTCAAAGCTTTTACAGCATCGCATTGACTGTATCCTTAGGCTTGTTCTACCTTTTAAATTTTACCTGTTAGATAAATCTGATAATCCGCGAATGTGATTGGATAATCTTGCTACTTATCCAACAGATAAAATTTACCAAAAGATGGAACAACCGGCCCTTAAGCCGATTCTACATTAATTGCAAGCCGATCACAAGTTTGTTGCGACAGCCAATATAAAGTATTGATTTCAAAATGCAAGCTTTAGATTGGCTGTCACAACAAACTTGCGATCGGCTTGCAACTAATGTAGAACCGGCTTTAATGATTTAATTTTTTAGATTATTTGTCAGGGTTTTTTTTTGTAAAATTTAGCTTATTTTGGTAAAGCATATAGCGGAATTTTAGAATTCAGGATTGGCAACACTGGACTGCGCAGAATCGGATGAAAATTGGTCTCGAGAACGAAGTTGTATTTCCACCATGCATATAGAATAAACGATCAACAAGACGAAATGGCTTCGAGAGAGATTATACAGAAATTCAAAACGGAGACGGAAATTGATAATAAGATAAGAAGATTGATCGAGATCTTAAAAAAGAAACGAGAGGATCGCAAACGCCTGACAAAGAAAATCAAGATAATAAGGTGAATGAATCAACTAATAGAGGAATGTGAGCGAATTCAAGGACCTGAGGAACCGCGATACAGAGACTAGAGAGATTATTGACAGCTTCGAAAATGAATTAATAAGTAGCAGTGATGACGACGCGAATGAGATTAATTTAGAATCCAAAATAATGGTAGAAAACAAAGATTACGAGACAAAATATAAGATAATAGCAAAAAAATATCAAATTTAAAAATAATATACTCTACATCGCTAGGAAACAAACCAAAGGGGAACTTAACAATAAATTTTGAGTATCACAACAGAGAATTTTATATCATTCGAATTTTAGAAGACAACCAGAATACGAGATGGCAACAGGAAGTGCCATTACAAACGTGAAAACCAATCCATTAAAAAAACGTCCTTGAGTGACATCGATGCTAGCAATGGTATGCAACAAATACCAGAGGACCAAACCATTTCACTACCACATCACAAGTAAATCCTGTTCCATCGACATCGCAAATACTTCATATTTTAGATTTTAATCGTAATCTATTCCCTATAGAAAATGCTAACCTAGTATCCATTCCACTAACAAAGAAGAAACTCGGAAGATCCAAGGTATACCCTGATAAACAAAAAAGATCATCCGAGAGGGACTATAGTGATTTATCTTTACAAATATTATTAAACATAATTAAGATTGATTCAAACAAAAAAAAAACAATAGGAAGATTTAAGAGAAACCAGAAAAACACAAAAAAAGAAACTTGTACATTAAGCATTACAGAGAAATTGGAGAAAAGAAGCGACTGGAATCCACACAAGACATCAAGTAGCAATAGAAGACGAGGTAATTAACGAAATCCAATAAATCTTAACAATCAAAAGAAAGATTTTTTTACAAATACAATAGTTTGCCTTCGCTGATATCTCAGCAAGACAAATTCGAACGGAGCATACAATCGATTGCAAATTTTGACAAACACATTAGAAAATCTCTAAATAGCTTAATATGCTTATCTGAACAGGTGGCTAAGCACATAAAAGTCTCAAATGGAGCACAGCCACAAGCATAGTAAATGGAAGTCGTAGACGAGGCTTAAACAGATCACATGGAGGAATGAAACCTGGAATAAGGAATAATGATATTATATGTTTTAAATAATATATTAAAAAGGTCACGTAGACTTTTGATTTTAGATTGAGTTTAGTATTTTTTTTTCTTTTTTTTTTTTAAAGTTATGTTTGGGTAATAATAATCATTCACAAGTTAATATGTTATTTTTTGTTTATTATTCAGAATCAAACCAATTTGATATTAATATATGTTTGAAATACTTATCTTATTTATAGAACATAAAGATTTATAAGTGAAATGTTAAAAATATATCTACCTCAATCTACCTATGATATGCCTTGATCCGTAGATTTAATCAGCACCTGAAAAAAAAAAAGAGAATGTTAGATGTTGAATAATTAGAAAATGATTAAAAGTTAATAGCAAGTTAATATAAGCTAAAGAATAATATTTACCTGTAATACTTACCTTAGTCCTTCCAATGGATATTGATGAAATTATGTTATGCCTATGTTAAGATTTATGATATTTTTGTTAATGTTAATAAATTATATAACTTTGATTCTTTGCCTTTAAATGAATCACAGTAGTCAATTTTTAGTTCTTTCTAATTTATGACTTATGGTTCATTGTAGAAGGCCTATTATAGGACAGTCTTAAGTAATGTCTTAAGATGGTGTCGCAGGTGCCAACCAAAAACCATTATAAAACATTATTTAAGACTGTCTTCTGACCGACTATAAATATTGGCTATTGCCTAAAAAAAATTATAATAGTAATTAATTATATCGATAAAATAATAATTAACTTATTTATAAATACTCAACAGTAAAATATTCAATAGTAATATTTTGCTTGTTGCAATATTGCACTGTTAATAGTCATTTATACTGTAGATCAGCAATATAGCAGTGAATATGGGAACAAAGTCAATGTAAACTTAATCGATAAAATATTTACAGAATATTTACACTGAATGATTGACTTAATATAGTTTTATTTCAATCTTATTTACAGATCTATCACCGGATTTATCGTTGGTCGAACGTGGCAACTTCTCTCGCCTGTGGTAGCGCACATTGGTTGTATACGGTCATAGGGAATCTAGTTTAATGTCGATTCTGAATGACGAAATTTTATGAGAGAAGTGCTCTTGGCAAAGATATTCTTGGTGGTTTGCCATTGCCTGCTAGACAAAGGAGCTACGAGCGAAAATTTGAAAAAATTTTTCGATTCTGCCTGAGATCGAACCCGGGGATCTCTGACTTAGTAGTTTCATGCGCTGCCTGCTACGCCACGCTCACACTATGATGTAGGCTATGGTCAAAGTCTCGCTACAAATATTTTGAAGCATTTGATGAACCAATTAGAAAAAAGGATTTTACAAACTGGCCAATTAAAAAACACTTCAAAGCGTTTGTAGTATTTGTAGTATTTGTAGCGTTGTATAAGAAAGTTGCATTTGTATATAATTAACATAATGCGATTGATTAATCGATGAATTAAAAACTGCCTTAGTTTTATTGCGAAAAATATTGCCTCACCTGGGATTCGAATACAGATAGATGAATATTATCGACAAATATTGATTATTAGTTCCACCTCTGAGATAGCGAGGGCGTCACAAACGCTATCCTTTTTCACCATATGCTTCTTATCTTGTTACGAAAACGACATTGAACAATATGCATATATGTTTATTGAGAATTGTTGAAAATTGAGACATATGTTCATTCCTCGTGGTTCGTTCCTCTTGAAGAAATGTTTAACAGAGTGAATTTTCAACAGCCGCTTTTATTTTATTCTTTTTCTTCGTATTGATTATTGCTAAATATTTATTTCATATAGCGATGTGACTCGAGTGGATAATAAATAAGAACAGCGAGAAAATCATGGCACCTAACCAACGTCAACGACAGCTCGTTTTGTCAAAGAAAGAATTAAAAAAGATTAATGGAAGAAGATTCTCAAAGTACATAAAATATTTTTTCTTTCTTCAGATATCAAATTGTTATACGAAATACTTATCACTGTGACTGAATAATTTCACCTGTCAATTGTTTATTGTTGAAATAGGAATAAATCTACAAACAGCTATAAAAATATGTCCTCCGTTATACTTCAGCCATATATATATATATATAGACACACACACACACACACACACACACACACACATATATTTTTTTATATTAATGACAAAATATCTGACATGTAAATCTCGAAAGAGAAAGGAGCTTATATTCTGTAGCATATTACGAAACAAAGACATATGTTACAAATTGATCATTTAATTTCCACGATTTAATATATATGAAATATTTAAAAAGAAATCTATTTCATGTATTAACTTGCCTTTATTTTCAATTAATTATTATAACAATTGTATCTTACCATTGTTAAGAATTATATGCATTTTTATTGTTATTTTTCTAATTTTATTGTTATTTTCTAATTGTATCTTGCTTTATAGAAAATATTCTAAAAACTGTGACCTATGCAATATATATTGTAATATCTTAAAAGTATGAAT